TAAAATGTTTATTCTATCAGTTCCTGGTTGCAAAAAAATATTGGCTATCCTCCTTAAATCACAACACATAAAAATGAGAAATCATATTTTGCATGTGGATACATAAACACAGATGTGCATGTGTGTATATCTGTGTGTGTGTATATATATATATATATATATATATATATATGTGTGTGTGTGTGTGTGTGTGTGTGTGTGTGTGTATATAATAATAATAATAACAGCTGGCCACTCGTATTCGAGGATATCCGTCTACTAGGGTGGCTAGCCAATCCCTACTGCAGACGCTTGCTCAGGCAGATTTGTGTTTGCTCAACACCCACAGAGCCAATCTGTGTTCTATACTGCAACTATGCTGAGCAGACCTTAGTTACAATTTCTGGGAGAGAGCGTGTTATCTAGCGTGATCAACAAGCTTAACAATGCTAGCACACTCAAACCCACGGTCACGATAACTTCATGCTAGAAAAGCTATCAATGGCTCCCATGTGTTCCGTCTACCCAATTTTATGCACAAGGCTTGAGGTAACCCGTAGTATGGTTTTCAGGCACTTTTCAAAGGTGTCGCATGCTGAGATCATCCCCACTCCAGATCAGAAATGACAAATCAACCATTGTGAGATTTGAACTCAGGTCACATGGTCAGAAAGCAAACGTTCTAATCACTCAGCCATGCACCAATATATATATATATATATATATATATATATATATATATATGTATGTATGTATTTTAATCATTTTAGCCGAAACATGGTAGTAATGCCACTAAAACACAAGGTTACTGGGAGTAAAAGAGAATGAGAAGACTTTAGTGAGGAGAAAGGCCAATAAAAGAACAGATTTCTGGAAGATAGAAGATGGCAATAATGCCTCTAAGATGCAAGGGGCTACTGAGAGTGAAAGAGAATAAGAAGACTTTAGTAAGGAGAAAGGGCAATAAAAAAAAAAGTTTCAGGAAGACAGAAGATGGCAATAATGTCGCTAAGACACAAGGGGTTACTGAGGGTGAAAGAGAATGTGAAGACTTTAGTGAGGAGAAAGACCAATAAAAGAACAGGTTTCAGGAAGATAGAAGATGGCAATTGATGTTGCCATTTAAATTTTTGAAGATTGTTAGCAGCAGAGAAGCCAGAAATCAGAAGGGAATTCCACAGGTGAGAAGTGCAAAAGAAAAATGTATTAGAATAGAACTTATGGTTGCAAATTGTCAATCTTAAATTAATCTGTTCAAGGCACCAAGGAGGAAAGCTCATCAGAACAATTGCTATGAAAATATTTGTGAAAAACAGAGAAGCCGTGTCACATTGGTGAAAAAGTGATGGATTTCGAGATGCCAGGTCAGGACCGATTACATAACTGAACCTTCTTTTGAATTTTGTCAAGTATCTCGAAATATACCGGCAGAGTAACAGACCAGATATGGCAACAATATTGAATGCATGGATGAATTTTAGGTTTAGAAATATGCATGATGGATGGTATTTATCAATTCACCCACAGGAATTGAATGTGGCACAAGGCCTTTTTAATGTGGGTATGTCCGAGCCCGTAGGCCCAGCCAAAAATAAAACCCATCTAAACCCGTCCAAGCAGGCCAGTTCCGTCAACCTCCCCGAACGAAACCCCACCCTTCGGCGGAGCCTCGTCCGGGTTCCTCTCTGCAAGCAGAGAGTTCGACAGACACCCGGCTCGGCAGCTCACAAAGCACAGATACTACACTTTGATCCTAGCCACCGGGCCGAGCGGGTATTCTTTTTAGGGATATATGCATGATGGATTCTGACAGAATTTAGGAAGACAGAAAATTGCAATTGATGTTGCATTAAAATTCATGTAAATTGTAGGTAGCAAATAAGTAAATAATCGGAAGAGAGTTCCAGAAGTGATAAATGTAAGAAAAGAAATTATAAGAGATGGTGTTAATAATAAAGGTTCTGTGATAATAGAAATTCTGCCATCAATGGCGAAATTTTGTAAGAGTCAGTATGCAAATTTACTGTTGTCAAAGTGTGGAATATCGTGTAACAAAATTGATGGAAAAAAAAGAATCTAAAAGAAACCAATTTAAATAAAAACAAAATTAAAAATAGAATTTTTTTTAAAATTAAAAATTAAAATCCTCAGCCTCTCTTTTTTGCACCAACATAAGAAATTTAACCCGATCAGGTCCTAAAGGATGAAACTCATCATAAGAAAAGTTTTTCCCACTTTGTCATACATTTTCCCCCTATATTGTTCCTGATATATAAGAATATCTCATATATATATATATATATATATATATATATATATATATAATTAAAAGTGATAAATTTTAATTACACACAATCCAAATTTAATTTAGTCGTTTACAAGTTTAAATGGTGATGTGATGCGGTGTACATAGGACGAACCAATCTAAGGTTGGAGACGTGGGTTGCACACCGTGTTTCCACCTATCTGCGTTCTGGTAGTCAGAGCCAATCTATAAGAACTACTCAGGCAGTCCATGATTCGGCCATCGGACAGTATTTGCTTGACAGCCATGCTTGTGCCACCGATTATGGAGACACTTGCATTCTCAGTATTACACAGTGTTCGCTCAGTATAGCATCTTTGAGTCCTGAAAGCTGTATTTATAAAACCCCATCAGCCCAGCCTGTCCAGACAGAAGGAACATTTTGTACGTTCCTTACATTTGTTGGAGGGATTGTGAGTTTTTTTTTCATTTTATACTCTTGTGGAACTTGCTGTTTTCACCCACCTGTTGAATTTTAATTGTGTGTAATTAAAATTTATCTCTTTTAATTGCATTCCAACAATCCCTCCTCATTTATTATAGTGAGTGTGTCTTCGTTTGTTTTCCAACTTGCCAACGTATACCTTTGAAAAAGTGTTGGTCGAAAGGTACCTAAGGTGTATATATATATATATATATATATATATATATATTATCATATATATATATATGTTTCACTGTATCACAGAGAGACTCTTCACTGTGTGGCTAGATGTCCAGATGTCCAGTTGCCTCTAGCTAGGATTGAAACCCGACTGAACTGTCATCAATCAGACAATCAGAGAATATATTTAAATAGTTGATGGACATAGTCCATTTATATATATATATATATATATATATATATATATATATATATATATATATATATTATGAAATGGACTATGTCCATCAACTATCAAAATATATTTTCTGTTTATATATTATTTTATAGATACAATTATTTGAGTAAATGCTCTGTTTATAATAACCTATATCCTACATGGAAGCATCATTTGATCTGATGTGCTATACACTCAGCTACAGAAAAAGCATCTGGTTAACAAAATCCAAATTACCTTTTTTAAACAACAAATTTCCCACAATCTTTCTATTTATCATATCTGCGCAAAGTCTATCTTAATGTAAACAAATGATAACATATATTATGAAATGAACTAAGTCTGACAATTATTTTAATATAATTTTATATTTTAATATATTTTAATACATTTTTAATATATTTTATAAAAAATAATGTATAAACAGAAAATATATTGTTGTTTAAATTTAAATTTTATTGAGCCAGTATAAACAACTTCTGTTTCATATCTGATGTTATCAGTTAAATATTTTCCATTGTGGGGGTAATTTGCCAGTTTTCTGTAGTTACATTATGTTACTGGTTTAAGATTTAATAATTCTTCATTAAATCCCTTTATGTTCCATATAAATATACATACAAACACACACTCACACGCATACATATATAGAAATTATATGTTTCTTTACAAATTTATTTCCACATACACATATATATATATATATATATATATATATATATATATATATATATATATATAAATTGTCTATAATATTTTTTCTTATGTTTCTCTTCTGTATTTTTGTTTATACTGATTATTGAAAACTAAAAGCATAATAGTTAAAACTGGTTTTGCAATTGAAAGTAAGAAAAATCAATACTACTCAAAAGGCTATGTTTCCACATATAAATACATGCACAAAAAAAACAACAAATATATCAATGAAAATAATTACCCTACCCATCACTACATAAGTAAGTTTCTTACTGTGTTTTATTGTCATGTTGGTTGGTGATATGTGATTTAATTGGGCTATTATCAGATTAATGCTAAGTTAACCTGCATGCTAATGTTGTGATTGTGTAGCCAATACACACACACACACACACACACACACACACACACATATATATATATATACATATATATATATATATATATATATATATATATACAATTGGTCGGGTAAATAAACTATTATAATTTTAAATATTTCTTTAATATGTTCTCAATAAATATGCTAATAATAATAGTAGTTAACTTATATTAAGTCCCCAAACTACTTAAAAATTAAATATTTAAATTGATAACATTCATCATTTTTTAGACATCTAAATTTCTATCAAGCATTGAAATCTATCTTTTACATAATTTTGTTAAAACAAAACTACAGCCTCTTTCGATTCACTTCTCCCCCTCTCTCTTTGCCGTAACACTCATTTGGATATATCGGTATTACTGTCGTCTGTCTCCTCTCTTTTTCCTTTTATTTTCTCCCCTCCCATTCCTACATATCATTTCCGTTAAGTTAACCATCTAAATAGATCAAGGTTCGGTCACTCCTCCTACCCCAATATAAAGCATGCTTAAGAGAGATATGAAATTAACCCCTCCCTATACTCTACCTTGTCTCTTTACCTGCCACTCTCACCCCCCCCTCCCTGTTAAATTACAAAAATTACACTACCCATCAATTTCTAATCCCATTTTTCCTTTCATTTCGTTGTTGGAATTGTTACCTGATGAACCGGAGTCATTTAAAAAGGATTTTGGTGAAATAAATTATTGTAATGGTACCTTAAAGTGGTCTGTTTTTCATTAATAATTATATATATATATATATATATATATATATATATATATATATATATATATATATATCTTCAAACAAGTTTTATAAATCGGGTACTTACTTGTGACCAAGTTCATGAGCCACAGTATAGGCAAGGGCCAAGCCGGAGTCTTCATTTATGTTACAAGAGAACTGTGGCTGGCACATTCCTGTTACATGAGCAAGTCCTAGTGTGTTACAAGGACGGTTGATTCGTGAACAGATATCATGCCTGTAATAAAAAAAAAGATTATATAAAATTCCGCAAAAAAAATTGTTCAAGAGGTTTATTTGAAATCAAGCAAACTATGTCACCAACATCAACATTGTAAACATTGGACTTTGTAATATATAAATATACAAGAAAAAAGAAGTTATTTTTGAGCAGAACATTTCGAAGTATTCACTGAAAGGATGTAATGTAATCAGAACTCTTTAGATTTTACATATGTCATAAAATTTTTGTTTTTATTTATTAACTTTAATCTTCAACAGATAAAGTACAATTACAGACTGCCCGAAGTGATTAAATCACATAAATTACATAAATCACATAAATCACATAAATTACATAAATCACATAAATTGCATAAATTATATAAATCACATAAATTACATAAATCACATAAATTACATAAAGTTGTAAATCGCATAAAATTTAATAACTCAAAAAGTCCAGAGCCAATATTCATCAAATTTAAACCATGGTAAAATTTTTAGCCAATTTTAGTGTTATATTCAGAGAATTTACAAAAATGTTCTGACCCAAGTTATTAGGCATATTAAACTAATAATAGTTTAAGGACTCTAAAATCTAATAAAAACTATCTTTTTTATTTTTTTCCATAATATATGTTGAAACATGGGTAATGCAAAATATCTCACAAATGCAGAAAAATAGAAAATAAAGTTATTGAGTGAGGGAATGTCCACATTGGAGATATCAAAGGAGCTTTGCAGAGATTACTGAATAAAAAAGAGGGTTGTTGAAAATATAAGTAAGTTGAGAACTAGAAGCAAAGGAGAAGGTTCTTTGAACTTGTCTCGTTCAGGGGGAATGTAAACTAAGGGGAGTTATATCAACATCCCCTTCTTTTGACCAGTGCTCAGATCTTTGAAAAGGCTGAAGCTGAGAGAGTCAAGAAGAACAAAATGTGTAGAATGCTTTGCAAATTGGAATCTGTATGGAAATCTCATAGGCAAACTCTCAGTAAATCAAATATTTTAAAGCGTCAAAATGAGGCCAAGAAATATATGAAAATTCACTACTAAATCTCTCTCCTTTGTTACTCTGTTATATAAAAACACATGAAAATATCACCTTGTTGAAATTTACATTATTTACATTATTCAAATTATTGTCCTCATGTTTTTCGCCATATCTATCACAACGTTTCGGCCGTTGTACACTCCGGCCTTCTTCAGGTGGGTAGAATGTCGAATGTATGAATTTCTGGGTATTATAAACCCAATGTCTTCAGCAACCATTTTTACCAGTGCTCATATTGCAATTCTGCTGTTATCATTGCATACCCAGATGTCCTCAAGGATTGGTTAGATCCAGTGACAGGACCCAAAGAGTGTGAGTTCAATACCAGGTTAAGGCAGTGGAGAACTTTCAGAGGGAAATTAACAGGAGATAACTGATAACTGACATCTATTAAACATGGCACGTGGAACTAGAACAGTCTACCCCAGTGATCGAAATAAAGGGTTCAGTTCGAAATTCCAACCACCTGAAGAAGGCCGGAGAGTACAACGGACGAAACGTTGTGATAGATATGGCGACAAAGATGAGGACAATAGTCCGAATAATGTAAATAATGTACATAATACATCATCTCAGAAATATAGACAGACTTTGTTGAAATTTATATTCATTTCCATCCACAGCTATTAAAAATGATGACCCATCATTTAGATGTGTAAATTTTGGTTGCTCCTACATTTAGTCCAACTAAGAATAGTAAAATAGTATATCAAAGAGGAATCAGTACAATTGATACCTTTTTGAAGAAATTATGTTTCTTTTTGAATTTGTGATGGAATTGACTCGACTCATGTTGTTGCATAACAAACAGGGTTTCTCCAGCTTTGACTTTTCTGTAGTATAACGATCAGAAACTATAAGTGATCATTTGTATTTGTTAAAATGTCTGTCTATATCTCTAAGATGAGGTATTATGATTACATACATTAATTACATTATTCGGATTGTTATCCTCATCTTCATTGCCATATTCACAACGTTTCGGCCTCTATATCTCTGAGATGAGGTATTATGATTACTTTCATTATTTACATTATTTGGACTGTTATCCCCATCTTCACTGCCATATTCACAACATTTTGGCGTCTATGTCTCTTAGATGAGGTATTATGATTACATACATTATTTACATTATTCAGATTGTTATCCTCATGTTCATTGCCATATTCACAACGTTTCAGCATCTATATCACTGAGATGAGGTATTATGATTACTTGCATTATTTATGTTATTCAGATTGTTATCCTTATTTTCATTGCCATATCCACAACGTTTCGGCTGTTGTACACTGGCCTTCTCCAGGTGACTGGAATTTCAAACCGATCCAGTGACTAGACCCAAAGAGTTGTGAGTTAAATACCAGGCCGCAGCAGTGGTGAACCAAAAGTCTTGGAGAGCTGAGTTAAAGAGATATAACTGAGACATCCGGAAGAGGCATGGGACGTGGAACTAGAACAATCTAACCCTTGGTTCATGACAAAGTGTTCTGTTTGAAACCATTTCACCCTAAGCAAGGTCATTATGCGACTAAGACACAAGGGGTTACTGGGGGTGAAAGACAATAAGTAGACTTTAGTAAAGTGAAAGGACAAAAAAGACCAAGATTCAGGAAGACAGAAGATGGTGATTAACATTGCATTTGAATTTTTTTCGTAGATGTCAGGGAAGCAAGGTTAGAAGTGCAAGAAAAGAAGCTATTATGTTATGGTTACATCAAGCTATTTCAACAATAAAACGAGTAGACCTAGTTAATATTCTAGCAGTGTGCTTAATTTTGCGTGGTCAAGGTACCAAGGAGGGGAGCTCATTACAACAACTGCTATGAAAAACTGCTATTTACAGAAAAGATAGAAGGAAACTACATCCTGGCAGTGGGAAAGTGATGTAATGGAATAACCTGTCACCCCTATGAGTGACTACACTATAGGTAGTAACTACCTATAAGTATCTGTAAGTCAACAGACTACAGAGTCTAGCTGGAATCTTTTTGGCTGGCAGGTCGAACTCTCTGTCTCTGAGCAGAGAGGAACCCGGACGAAGTTATGCCGAAGGGCAGAGTCTCGTTCGGGGAGGTTGACCAACCCAATCCCATTATGCGGGTTCTACAGGCATTTTTTGGCCGAGCCTACAGGCTCAGATAACCCACGTTAAACCCGGCCTTGTGCCACATGCAACATTCGAGGGGTGGGGTGGATTTAAATATTCTGTCTGGAATCTTTTCAGCTATATGGTTGAACTCTATGCCTTCAAGCAAAGAGGAACCCAGACGAGTCTATGTCGAAGGGCAGTGTCTTGTTCGGGGAAGTAGACCAACCTGATCCCGTTTATGTGGGTTTGACTGGGAATTTTTGGCTAAACCTAAGGGCTTGGATGTCCCACATTAAACTCGGCCTTGTGCCACATCTAACCTCGTGGCTGGGCTAGTAAATACTGTCCAACTGGGATCTGTTCCAGCTGTGCTGGTCAAAATCTCTCCCTCCAGACAGAGAAGATCCCCAGACGAGGTTATGTCAAAGAGCAGATTCTTGTCTACCTGACCCTATTTTATATGGTGAATTTTTGGCTGAGCCTACAGGCTCAGATACCCCATATTAAATTCAGTCCCATGCCACATTTGATCTTTGGATTCTGTCACTGGATCTAACTAACGCCTTTATCCACTGTGCCATGTGTCCTTGAGAGTGTGGGTTCAATACCCGGTTAAAGCAGTGGAGAACTTTCAGAGGGAAACTGAGAAACCAGAGATAACTGATAAATGACATCCATTAAACATGGCACATGGAACTAGAACAGTCTGCTCCAGTGAGTGAAATAAATGATTCAGTTCGACATTCCAACCACCTGAAGAAGGCCGGAGTGTACAACGACCGAAATGTAATAAATATGGCGACAAAGATGAGAACAATAGTCCGAATAATGTAAATAATGTACATAATCCCACATCTCAGAAATATAGACAGATATGGAAATTATTTATAACTCATCTTAATACTTACCAATCAATTTAACAGATGCTTAATAAACTTAAAGAGAGAGATTTTGACGACTGACCTTGTCATGAGTATAGCAACATCATGGTGATTGGGGTGATTGTCATCTTTGAAGTTTATTTTCCGTTGCCATCGACAGAAACTCCGAAGACTCTTATCTGCATGATGGGTGATGATGAGTTCATCCTGCAATTTGGAAAAGTTTAAGAATAAACAGGAATGAATGCTTTACATTAAACAACAAAGATTATCGATTATAACATGTCTCTTCTCTTCTCTTGCTCTATACCTGTATCTTCTCATTCTCTTCCTTATCCTTTCCAAAGTGGGGTTACTCAGTGTGGAAGAATATATGTAAAAGAAAACATTATTAAGAAAAAACAACAATAAAAGAAAAAGAATTAAGAAGACAGAAGATAGCAATTGATATTGCATTTAAATTCTTCAAGATCAAACTTGACTGGAAAGCAAGAAGCTGGAAGAGATGTGAGATGTTTTATGTTCATATAAGAAGTAATTATTATTTTTGTTAATATTATTATTATTTTCTCTTTTGCTTCCCCACAGTGTTTGTTGTTACTGCTGATGGAGTATTTATTTTCCGGCCACCTCATGTGACATAAGAAAATAAGGCAAACATTTGTTTTCTTTTGCATTGACAGGCTGTATCCAATGTTGAGAAGTGCAAGAGAATCTACATCTAGCCATTTCATCTATAAAATGATGACATCTTACCATCAATGTAGTACTGGTTCCATGCTTTCCAGCCAACTTTAATCTATAAATATTTAAATGCAATGTCAATCACTATCTACTTTCCGCCTGATTATTATTTTCTCTTTCTACTCATCGTTAATGTTTCTGTTCCGAATTCTTCCACATCCTGTAACCTCTTGTGTTTTAGTGGCAGTATTGGCTTGCTTGGGGGTGATACTAATAAAAAAAATGGCAATTTAAAAAAAAAAATTAGTGGAATGACAAGGTTAAACCTCCACAATTAAACACAAAAGCTGAGCTATTTGAAAGAAAGGTAATGCTGTGCATATGATGAAATCGTTGGAGTAATATTCATAGGGAAACATTAAATGCACATTTATATTTCCAGCAGCTGCAATGTGGCCATGAAAGCTTGGTCAAAAAACGTTCCCTGCTGTGTAGGAAAAATGTTCTTTTCTATGACAACACAAGACTAAGATGAGCAAAATATCAACCTTGGTTGGTCTGTTCTATCCAAATTGTTATGGTTACCTGAACTTGCACAAACCAATTATTACCTTTTATGATCGCTGCAAAACACTTTGATCAGGAAATTTTTCATATGTAAAACCAGATTGAAGAGTTAATTGAAAAGTTTTTCATATAAAAAATCTGTGGATTTGTTCTGAAAAGGTATTAAAGTACTTCCTGATAACTGACAAAAAGTCATTGCAAATAACTGGGAGTGGATAATGAAATAAAATGTAATTAATTAAGTCTAGATACTATAGAAAGACTTCGTAAGAACAATTACCATAAAAATATTCATAGAAAGAATACAGGGAAGCTACATTACGGCATTGGGGAAGTGACCGAAGTCAAGATGCCATGTCAGGATCAATGATATTGCAAATCCTTCTTTGGATTTGATCAAGGATCTCTAAATATATAGCAGGAGCACTAGACCCGATGTGGCACCAACATTCAATGTATGGACGAATGCTAGACATGAATATGTCAGATAGATTCAGTTGAAAAAAAATTGTACATTATTTACATTATTCGGACTATTGTACTCCTCTTTGTCGCCATATTTATTACAACGTTTCAGCCGTTGTACGCTTCAGCCTTCTTCAGGTGTCTGGAATGTTGAACTGAACCCTTTACTTCACTCATTGGAGTTGACTGTTCTAGTGCCATGTTTTAATGGATGTCAGTTATCAGTTATCACCTGTTAATTTCCCTCTCCAAGTTCTCCCTTGTCTTAACCGGGTATTGAACTCACACTCTTTGGGTCCTGTCACTGGATTTAATTAACGCCTTTATCCACTGTACCATGTGTCCTCAAGGACACAATGCACAGTGGATAAAGATGAGGATAATCGTCTGAATAATGTAAATAATGTACATAATACCTTATCTCAGAAATATAGACAGATACTGAAGGGCTGAAATGTTGAAATAAATATGGCGACAAAGATGAGGAAAATAGTCCGAATAATGTAAATAGTGTACATTACACCTCATCTTGGAAATATAGACAGATACTGAAAGGCCGAAACGTTGTAATAAATATGGCGACAAAGATGAGGACAATAGTCCGAATAATGTAAATAGTGTACATAATACCTCATCTCAGAAATATAGACATATACTGAAAGGCCGAAACGTTGTAATAAATATGGCGACAAAGATGAGGACACTAGTCCGAATAATGTAAATAGTGTACATAATACCTCATCTCAGAAATATAGACAGATACTGAAAGGCCGAAACGTTGTAATAAATATAGCGACAAAGATGAGGACACTAGTCCGAATAATGTAAATAATGCACATAATACCTCATCTCAGAAATATAGACAGATACTGGAGAAAAATTGTATAGTACAGCACAGTCGTTTATTTTCTTGAAGCTTATGTCCTTAATAAAAATATTAAGGGATCAACTGAATTTCTTCATATATTATTCAGTTGTATAGATTATATGGGAAACTATTTGAAAACAAAGACGAATTAAAGTTGTTAATTCTTAGAAATCTTACTTGGTGTTCTTCCAGCAACATGAGACGAACAACTTTGATGTTGATGGCATTGCCAATGCTTGCATCATGAAATAAGGCTGAAACCTGTAAAAAAAAAAAAGAAGAAAGAAAATGATGTCAAAAATTTCCCAAAAGTGGCAAAATGTTCTGAAAAAATGTATACCAGTTCCTTGGCTAAAATATTATATGCATGCATCTTATACAAACACTTTTGTTAAATATAGGGCCACTGCCTCATCAAGGTAGATGTGGCTGTTGTGGTTTCTGGAATAAGGTGGAGTTGCTAGCCCCCTTTAAAATCAGTTTTGGATTAAATCTTGTTACTCTCTTATACTGGTTGCCAACTTAGGTCAGAGAGTTCAGTTTATCCAGGTATTAACCCTAAAACACTAACCATCAATTCAACTACTAACCATGGGTATATCATACCCAATTTTGAAAATATCAAAAAAAAAAAATATTAAATAGAAATCTTTATTTGAAATATTTTACGTGCAGGCGCTTCAAACTTTGTACTTTGAGTTAACATTAATAAGAACTGAAAAACATATTATTTAGGTAAGAAAATCAGGTACTGAAAATTGTAATTAAAAATAGGAAAATTTGCACTGGGTACTATGGGTACCCATGGTTAATGTTCTAGGGTTAAAACCAGAACTAAGGAAAGAAGAGATGAAAATATACCTTCCCAAAGATATTTATGCTACATTCATACATTCATACATATATACAAATATATATATATATATATATATATATATAGATAGATAGATAGATAGAGAGAGAGAGAGAGAGAGAGATATGCGCGTGTGTGTAAAAATTTGTTTCATACTTAGATGCGATCATCAGGCCATATCTGATGATTACATTTAAGCATGAAACAGACAGCATACTTTAAAACTATATTTTTATCATTATATATATATATAATGATAAAAATATCATTTTAAGGTATGCTATATATATATATATATATATATATATATATATATAAATGATTAAGTCAAAGAATTTGTTTTATACAAAATATTTTATAAGACAGATCTGTAAAATAGTAATAATACCAACAGTCAGAAGATGTTTTCATGAAAAAAACATTGCATTCTGTAAGAAAAGGAAAACACTTTTGATACACCCAAATATATAATAATAATATTAGCTCTATAGATTGTATCGTAAGATTGTCTCAATATATACATGAATGATACATTGGACTTTTCTACTTTATGTGATGTGTCCCCTCAGGACATAGACGATCATGGGCCTCTACAATTTCCTGTCCCTTGAAGCCCTTAACAAATGCCTTTCTTTTATTTCTCCTAAATCCTATTCTGTCGTTCATTTACTCAGGCTCACTAAATATGTAATGCGTTGTTTTCCCTGTCTTTCTTGACTTTGATCTTTTCTGTATCAGAGTTTCTAAGTCACCTTTCCTCCTTATGTGTCCTAAAAATTTCGACTGTCTTTTCTTGATGTTAAGTTTAAGTTTCCTTTTGGTTTCCATTTTCTCTAAAACTTCATCGTTGCTCACATGTTCGGTTCATGATATCCTCAGTATCCTTCTGTAGAACTACATTTCTGTTGCTTCAAGTCTTCTTTTCATCTTTGAGGAGATCGTCCAGCATTTACTGCCATACAGGAGGAGATATCACGTAACAGTGTAATACTCTTTTCCTTGTTTCTAGCAAACTTTTTTTTCTATTTCTTAGTACTCTGCTTAGCTTTTGGAAGGCATTTTTGGTTATCGCAATATAGCTTCGGATTTAAGTGTTGCACTTTCTGCCCTTTGTCAAATAAAACTTCACAGATATTTAAATTTCCGCACTTTTTAAATTTTTTTTTAAGCATTAAGCCCCGAGCAAGGCGTGAAGCCACTAGGATGCAGGGGGTTGCAGAAGATTTGGAGCGAGAGCAGATAGTAGTGATAGAAGAAAGGATGAGGAGAAGGATAGTGGGTAGATCAAGGCAACTGGAGATGTCGATTGACATTACATTTGAATAGTTGGAGATTATAGCTCTCAGGGAAACAGTAATAGGGAAGGGTGTTTCACAGGCGAGAGGTGCGAGGTATGAAGCTATTGGAGTAGAAGAGACGGCTACATTTAAAAGTTTCTACAGTGTAAGGGTGGGAGCAGGATGCCAGCCTCGTAGGGCGCTTGAATTCATGAAGTCTGGGAACCAGCGAAAGCAGCTCATCGGAGCAATTACCATGAAAGTATTTGTAGAAAAGACAGAGAGAGGCGACGGCGCGTCTGTGAGAGAGCGACTGTAGACGAGATGCCAGATCAGGGCCAATTATATTACATATCCGTCTCTGGATCTTGGTTGATTTTGGTATCTCCAACTAAGAATTTGCATTTTGAGCTCATCTTTTTGCTAACCATGCATTCTGTCTTCTTGCATTTGATGTTTAATACTTTCTTCTTGATTTTCTTCATTACCTACTGTAGGAGATGTTGTAGCTTTCTTTCCATGTCTTCTATTAATGATCTATGAAAATAGAATGCTTTTGATACATTTGGACAATGATTTAACTTTTAACCATTTTAAAAACATAGAATATAAACATGTAAGAAAGAAAGAATGGAGAATGGAAGAAAAAGGGAAAAAACTTTTATCTGGGAACTTATTCAATGTAAATATTTATTAATAGGGTTTACACTCCCAACTATATCTTGGAACGTGCTGTTATATATACACAAACATAAACAAAAAACAAAAAAAAATCAGAAAAATGTGTTATATTTTGTCTCAAATAGCACAGCCGACGGGAATAATTTTCGACCCAGGAAAAGTAAATGACAGACTAGTGTGTTGTCTGTTCACAGATAGCTCCATATTCCTGACATCAGGCGTCATCCTTTTTGATCCGTCAGGAGGCTGACATTTAACTTTCATAGTAGCATCATCAGTGTTGATTGGGAAAAAAAATGAAGGAAAGAGTTTATCATCTTCTCGATCTGTATTTAATCTTTTGAGTCATACACCCGAAAATGGTGTGATCGCCACCGCCAGTTTTTATTGAAGCCCTCCCATAGAGGTCTGCTGAGAGACAGACAAACATTAATTGTAACAACTGTATCATTTATATTCTTTTCCCTTCGATGAGGATAAGGGCTTATGAAAAAAAAAACTTTTGAAAGTGAAATTTGAAGATCCAGAGAAAAATAAAATTCTCTGGTGAAATAAATTATAACAAATGGCACCTTAAAATGGTTTGTTTTTCTTTAAATTAAATTATTCGCTCTGATTTAACATTGAGTTCACAGGATTTCATCCTCCTTGGGATTATTCATATGGATTACTAAGATTTTGTTACTTAACTTATATATATATATATATATATTTGTAAAAATGAATTTAAATCTACACTTTTGACGAGCAGTTTAAGCTTATATAATTTGATATTTGAATAACCTGGTGTAACAACAAAATTGTTCAAATCTTGTAAAAGCAAAATTGTTCATTTGTTAGTTTTAACCATTGTATCGTAGAAATGATTAAAGATATCTTACTGGAATTCTCCACAGTTTTATAACACTACTGATATATCTATCTATCTCTCTCTCTCTCTCTCTCTCTATATATATATATATATATATATATATATATATATATATATATATATATATATATATAATAAATCAAGAAGAAAATCTCAAACATACATTTTGGTTATAATTTATTTCATGAATATTTCTATATATTCCTTTTTCAGACTTAAAGGTTTAAATAAATGGAAAGAATTTTCCCTGGACTGATATGCTAGATTGACTGGGGGAAGGAAAAGCAAGAGCGAAAGGAAGAAAGATGGAGAAGATGAAGGAAAATGACAGATTGTAAAGCTCTTTTTTTAGAACTTGAAATAGAGAGAAAGCGAGGGAGAGGGAGTGAGGGTGAAGAAAGAAGTGAGGGGGATGGTACGAAAATAAAATGAACTCATAAAATGCAGATGCATTGGTGAAATAGGTTTTGCAAGAAAATCTTATGTAAAATCTGAGACAGATAGATTTGAACAGATTCTGTTAGACACAAATAGATAGATAGATATGAATAGATACAGTTAGGCATAGATAGATAGATAGATAGATAGATATGAACAGATATAGTTAGACATAGATAGATAGATAGATAGATAGATAGATAGATAGATAGATAGATATGAACAGATACAGATAGATAAATAGAGATAGATATGAACAGATACAGTTAGACATAGATAGATAGATAGATAGATAGATAGATAGATATGAACAGATATGAACAGATATAGATACATAGATAGATAGATAGATAGATAGATAGAACAGATACAATATGACATAGATAGATAGATAGATAGATAGATAGATAGATAGATAGATAGATATGAACAGATACAGTCAGACATAGATAGATAGATAGATAGATAGATAGATAGATAGATAGATAGATAGATATGAACAGATACAGTTAAACATAGATAGATAGATAGATAGATAGATAGATAGATAGATAGATAGATAGATAGATATAAAAAGATGTAGTTTGAGATAGATAAATGAATTTGCTTTGGTTTATATTTTTTGAAAAAAATAATCAAGAATTTTCATCCATACAATTAAATCTATTGTCGCCTGTAAGAGAGAATTCTTATCTTTAAATAACAAGAAGGAATTATTTAAACATTAGCTTTTCTCTACTATCAGAAAATGACAGCTATATTTAAATGACTTTGCGATGTCATTAGCTACATTTCCTGCATTGAGTAATATCAGATTTTTATCTATACAATAAAACCTGTTGGGACCAGTAAGAAAACATTTCTGATTTTTAAACCATTAAAATTATTTAAACACTACTTTACTTGTACCTTCAAAAAAATAAGATTTATATTCAAATAATTTTGCAATTGCATTGGTGTTATTTTATGCAGATAATATTTCATACTTTAATCTATACAATCCACTTTATTGTTACATGTTTGAAAGAATACTTTTTGAAATCTTTAAATGTAAAACAAGCCAAAGAAAACTAACATAAAAAAAATACATGTAATATTCAAATACTTTTGCAATTGCATTGGTTATATTTTCTGTAGGGATAGTCTGGGATTTTTATCTTTACAATTAAATATGTCATCATTTGTAAGAAAGATTTCTGCTTTATAAGTCATCAAAGTTATTTAATCCCTAGTTAAAGTGTTCCATCAAAAGACAATAACACTGCAGTTGAATTAGATTCATTTTTAAGCAAAGAATCTAGGATTTTACATGTACAATTGAGTTTATTCTTGTATTTTACAAAATAATTCTACTTCAGCAGAGCCTCGTCCAGGTTCCTATCTGCTCAGATGCAGAGAGTTCGACCTGCAAGCCGAAAAAGATTTCGGCTTGTCTCTGTAGTCCATTGACTTACCAACACTTATAAGTAGTTACTACCTATAGTGTAGTCACTCATGGGGGTGACAGATAGATAGATAGATAGATAGATAGATAGATAGATAGATAGATAGATAGATAGATAGATAGATAGATAGATATCTGTCTATATTTTGGAGTAATTATTTACATTGTTTGTATTTTCGTTCTCATCTTTATTGCCATATTCAAAATATATGACAACAAAGACGAGAACATTCCAAAAATGTAAATAGTGTAAATAGATAGATAGGCATAGACTTAGATAGATAGATAAATAGATAGAAGGATAGATAAATAAATACAGACTTAAATAGAGTAAACTGTAAAGATGGCTTCAAACTCCAATATTTAAAAACTGAATTAGATAGATAGATATGAAGAGAATGACAGATAGATAGATAGATAGATAGATAGATATTTTATAATATTGTTTTTATAAAATAAATCTTCCCACCATTATGACTATTGAAGATGGCGCTTGTAAACTGTAAAGATGGCTTCAGACGCCAATATTTAAAAACTGAGTTAGATAAATAGATAGATAGATAGATATGAACAGATCCAGTTAGACAAAGATATATATATATATATATATATATATATATATATATATATATATATATATATATATATATATATTATTATTATTATTTTATTTTTATAAATTAGAAGACTACTTGAATTTAGTACAAAAGAGTACACTGTAAAGATGTCTCAGATTCAAATTTGGTAAAATGCCTTTCTCAAAAAAATATTTAAAAACTAATTTACCAATACCATCAAACATAATGTGAATATTACGCTTTTTTTAAATTCAAATTTAATTTTTCTATGAGTAATCTAGGATTTTTATACTTGCAATTAACTGAGTTGTCACATGTGAGAAAGAATTCTGCTTTTTAAATCATAAAATGTAACTTAATTGCTAGTTTTACTTTACTGCTAAAAGATAATGGCCATATTTAATGAATTGCTTTGGTTATATTTGTTTACGTGAGTAGTCAAGAATTTTTATCTCTGAACTTCTTGCTCACTCCTTGTACACCCTTACAACAACCTCATTCACTAATGGTCTACCATGAGTGGTTCTTGAGCCTTTTATTGAATGAATAACAGTAAAAAGACATCTCCAACATCCATTTACTTAAGCTTGTCTGGGTAGATCAATTACAACTGACTGGTGTGTTCGATCCCCACTGAATGCTCGATATATTCAACTTTGTCCCACTTTTAAGCTAAACTTAGTAAATCATTATTATTATAATTTGAACATTTTGACATGGTATAATGTTTAGCAATTACCCTAAGAGATCAATCATGATTGAGTAATGAGTTTGATTCTCACTGGGTGCTCCGTGCTTTCGGCCTTGTGCCACATCTAAGCTATGCTTAGCAAATCAATATATTATGCTATGATAATAAATTCTTGTCTGAATACCCTGAATGTTACCCTGTTTACTATGCTTCACTTTCTCATCTTGCGTCTGTGTCATCCGTCTGAAATATCTTATAACCACTTGGCCTTCATATGACATCTAGAAACAGCTGTCTATATCTCCCTAGTGATTTTACAAGTGCATAAGGCCCTCTTAAGTTTATAGGGCTTTGTTCACCTAATTTACAAAAAAAAGCAGACATTTTTCTTTTAAAGTACTTGAAAAAACAAGAATGTGCTTAGAAAGCATTTTTTTTTAGGTAAGATACAGCTTTAGCTAGTTTACATTAGAAAATGCCAAATAAGATTTAAAACTATTTAACGAGGTCCGTGATGTAATTTGATTTAAGATTAATGCGTAGACTCAGAAGAAGTAAAAAAAAATATTGTTATTTAAACGTTGAAAAAAAAAGAAAGTGTAATTTCTCTTAAGTTGCAAGTGAAAGTTGTTCTGGTTTTTCAAGAACAGTTCAGAAATGGATGCTGAAAATTTCTTTGCTTTACCAAAAATGTATTCCAGACAATTCTGATGTCTGATTACGTGACCAGATTTTGTGAAGTGGGGAGACCTGAGTAACTTTCAAAAATAACTCACGGATATGCATATGTAGACTCAGAGGCTTATTTGGGGCAAGGATTTTTCTTTAAAAATATCCAAGAAAGAAATAGATAATTAATAATAATATTATTATTATTATTATTATTATTATTAATAATAATAATAATAATAGCTGGTCACTCAGACATTGTGATCAAAGACCCCAAAATATTAGGTTGATGCAAAAATAATGACGTAATAATGTCGTTTTTGACGTATTTTTTAACGTCAAAAAACGACATTCTTACGTCATTATTTTTGCACCAACCTAATAGATTGTGCTTTCTTATTGATATGGCTGTCTCTGTAGATTGTAATGTATCTTTGAAGACCTTCAAAAAACTATCAAAATACAAGAATCTTGAAATAGAAATCTTAAAAATGTGACACATGAGGACATCAATAATTCCAGTTGAGTTTGGAG